CTGTCCAGTCATCTTTGTAGTTAAACATTAAAAAGTTACAACTCTCCAAGTTTTGTTCTTCGAATTCATCTTTATCAGAGCTTGACTCATCATCAGAGTCTTCAGAGAATTCGTCTGGACTATCATAATCTTGTCTGTAGATAAATTTGATTTTGGTAGTTCCTTTTCAGTTGTTCCAATCGAATGTCATAGTCTTATTATGTAGATCAAGTTTGGCTTTAATTTATTAAAAATTTAAAATACTAGCAGAATTGCAGTAAACTTCGAATCTGGCAATGAAAGACGAAAAAAAAAATTCAGTTTAAAGAAATGCAAATATCTCTGCATGCAGTGGACCAAATTGAATGAATTTGATACCATTAGAAAGGTCGAGTCAAGATGCATCTAATGGTATCAAAATCATTAAATTTGATTCACTAGATGCGAAAATATTACGTCTTATAAACACCATACAAAATCGTTCAAAATTATATAAATTTCTTTACCATTCTGCGAAGAAAATTGATTTTTGCAAATATCTTCGTATCCAATGGATCAAATTAATTGAATTTGGTACCATTAGAAAGCTCTAGTCAAGACGCATCTAATGATACCAAAATCATTGAATTTGGCCAACTAGATGCGGAGATATCGCGTCTCAAACACAACGTACAAAATTATAAAAAAAATTTTCACAATTTTGTACATTGTATTTGAGACGCGATATCTCCGCATCTAGTTAGCTAAATTCAATGATTTTGGTATCATTAGATGCGTCTTGACTAGACCTTTCTAATGGTACCAAATTCATTCAATTTGGTCTACTACATACGGAGATATTTGCATTTTTTAAACTGAATATTTTTTCTTCATCTTTCGTCACCAGGTTCGAAGTTTACCGCAATTCTGCTAGTATTTTAAATTCCTGATGTTATTATAAATTATAGTATATTATAATTTAATTTTATTTTATTTTCTCTTTTATTTTTACTTTATATATTATTATATAATCATTATTAATAAATTATATTCTATATATCTTTCACTTTTATTTTTATTTTTACTTGTATTTTCACTCAAAAATTAATAATTTTCTTATTAATATATTTTATATTTTATCTTCAATAAGAATATTTTTAATTTGTATTTTATTATATTTATCCAATTATATTTATTTTATCTTCAATAAGAACATTTTTAATTTGTTTTTATTATATTTATCCAATCATATTTATATTTATTTTATCTTTTATTTTTGCTTTGATTTTTTATTAATATTTTTTTTTTAAAATTTTTTTTTGCAATCTTATAATTATTAATATTCATATAAATTTTCTCTTGTATTTTCTCTTATATTTTTTTTTGTTTTTTATATATAAAATTTTCTAATTTATTTTCTCTTTGTAATAACTTAGTATTATTTGTATTTAGTAAAATGATTCGAATAATTATTAGTCATATAAACTATAGAAACTATAAAAAAATTTCATTGCTAGAAACTCTCATGCTCTGATCTAATAAAAATAACAAAGTTTTTACTTATAATATTATACTTGTGAATATACTGTTAGTTTTATGATTCTTTAAATCTTGACTATAAGTAGTAGATACTTCTTTACTTTAAATAAGCCATTGACTTTATTTATTTATTTTATTATTTTTAGGGCCATGTTAATAAGTTCTGTTTATTTTATTTATTTAATATATCAATATTGTTATTTTATTTTCTTTATTGACAATCTCAATAATAAGTCCAATTATTATTTTATTTAATTAGACAGTTTCAATAAGTCCTGTTATTTTTAATAGTTATACTAATTTTGTTTCTTTTATTATACTATTTTATTTAATTTTCCTCATCATTCTCATTTTAACCTTTGATAATAAGTTGGTTTGTGTGCAAGCTACCACAGGAGATCTTTAGAATCTTTAGTAAACTCCATTAATTGTAAATCATTCAATCTTTGTTTTTTCACTGATTGTTCCTTTGTTAATTCATTAGTTCCAACAACACTTGAATTGACGAGAACAGTATAATCTGCACGTCGGTATATCGAAAGTTAACGTTAATTGTATGTTGTTCATGTTCACAAAGCTTTTCAAACCTTACATATTAATCTAAGAGCATGTACGTATTGTGAAAATAATATTTTGCAATCAATTGTTATCAGAAAGCGAAAATTTAAAGTATTTTGTCAAATGTGATTATAAACAACACTTTCATATTACTTCACAAGAAACAACCATCCATGATACCTAGAGTGGCGCTCAAAAGTACTGCATCACGAAAAGTTTTACGAAAAAAAATTCTAATGCCCTCGGTTTCTATACTCGCTTTAAAGCTAATAACCTAGCGAATAAAAAATATGTATAAATAATATTTTTGTTGCCATTTTAATTTGACGTTAATATTTTGCTTTCAAGGCAAATCCCGAAAAACTCCCATTAATCAAAAATGTTCTCTATGAAACTATATGTATACCAATTTTCAGCTAAATCAGAGCATTGACTATCGAGATATAAGCTTCAGAATGTCAACATTTCAAATATGTAAAATAATAGTTGAATTAATTTACTAATTGAAATTTTAACATGCAGAAGCTTTTATCTCAATGTCCAACTCTCTGATTTAGCTGAAAATTAGTATATATGTAGTTTTTATAGAGGAGTTTTTCGGGATTTGCCTTGAAAAAAAAATTTAATGTCAAAAATTCACTAATTAAAAGAATACATGTATACCTCTTAAATTTCCCTAAAATGGCAATAAAAATATTATTTATACATATTTTTAAAAATCCGCTAGGTTATTAGCTTTAAAGTGAGTATAGAAACCAGGGGCATTAAATCGTTATTAGAGGCGCTAGAATTTTTTTCGTAAAACTTTTCGTGATGCAGTACTTTTGAGTGCCAATGTATATTAGTCATTATCTTTTATACAATTTGAGCAATATCATACTCAAACTTGTAATAACTGAAGCTTTCTTTTAATTTTTTGACGTATTAACTGACATTGTCAGTGTTTCAAATCAAGATAAACTAAATATCGATATACTATTTTTCTAAAATGCACTCATTATACATTAAATAGCTAACAACCAGCTGCAAACAAATACATTTTATTACCTACTTTTTCTCTTTAAAATACTTTTCGGTTTGAAATCGAAATTATTATTCGGTTCGGTTGGAAAATACTCAGGAACCAATAAAGTCGAATCGTTCAGTCCCTTAATAGAGGATTCAACGAATAATCTTTTTCGTTACTACGCAACTATATCGATATTAAATCTAAATACAAAAAATTGAATTTTTACAACATATAATTTATATTATAGCCTATATAAACCGAATTTAGTTCCAGAATAGCCACAGTAACCAGCCTTGATAAATCGAAGTTGTTTGAACAGTTATAGTAGACCGAATTTACTAAAGAAAACTGAATTTTTTAAAATGGATTGCTACTTAACAAGGTTGACTGTACTATCAAATTAACAAGGAGGAACTTGTGCTTCGTGACTTTTATCGTTGAGTTTGGACCTACTAGCCAGCAGATATATATCTAATGACGAAATTTACTTCTTTACATGTGTCCAAAGATACTAACACTAATTGGAAAGTCATATACTGCAAATGTTTAAAGGTGAACGGCCATCCGGTGAACGAAGTCATGCTTTATATCTTGTATATAACAACTATAAATACATATAAAAAAAAATAACTTATATTTTTTTCCAGTAACTCATTGGTATTTATATTCCAGAATATCTAACGCTAAGGTTTTATTGACGTGAATCTAGATTCAACAAAAATCCGGAAAATGTTTTATCTGACCCAAAAAGATTCAGAATTTTGTTAGAAATTTTGCAATACAAATACCGGATAAAAAATGACATGTTATTTTACAGGGAAGACGTACGGCCTAAGATAGCTAATAATATTTTTGGATGATACAAAACAAAAATTATTACTGAAAAATTACATTTTAAACGTAAATATTACAGTTCTTTAAGATAACCTGAAACACGTGAAGAAATTTTTTATCGAGTTAAATTAGAAAAGAAATTGAAAAAACTTGAACTGAAAAACAAGCATGCCTACAAATCAATTTCAATAAATAAAATGATAAGGTACATTTTGTCTCTAAATCTTACAATATCGATATATTGATATTGTAAAATTTATTTTGAAGATTTTGTATGTTCCTAATGATTCTAAGGTCACATTTTTATTCTCAATACAGTCAAAACTGGCTATAACGAAGGTGGCCGAATAATTAGTAAAAATTTTGGAATCTTCATTATACGTATCAAGATTTACTACGTATACTTTTTATAACGAACTACGTACGTACATGTATTAAGTTATTGCAATGTATTAAGTTATTGCAAAATTCAAACATCGTTATATCGAGGTTTTAATTACACTTCGTTATAACCAGCGTTTTTCATAACCAGTTTTGACTGTATATCGACGAAACCAAAAACTCTTCTAATAAACTTTCCTTCAGTATAACGGTATCCTCGATATAATAATAAGTGCAGAAATTTTTTACGAATTATATATCAAAGTACAGTCAACTCTCTCTAAATGCACACTTTGGTTCAGTCTCAAGTTAATAATATTACTAAGCAAATGCTCTCTATAAATGCAAAGACTCTCTAAATGTACTCTCAGATTTGATTTTTATGTCTCCTGGCGGTGTGCATTTAGAGAGAGTTGACTGTACTTGTTTGTGTAAACTCCAGCAAATGTAACAAATGAATACGATTTAGATATTGACGCCAAAGCTACAAGTATCGGTTTGTATATTCAAAACGAAGGCAAAATTTATTAATTATGCCAGACTGCACACAGTGATAATTAGTAGGTTATAATTTTTGCTTATTTTATAATCTAGAATACATGTCTCGTGAGAGTTTATTAATATTAATAATTATATTGAGAATAATAGTAAGAAAAATTAACTATCCGAATACAACGTGTTTTTCACTAATAACGACTACTTTCTAGAATATTATTTAATTTTATTTAGTAGCACCTGTAACAGGCTTTGCAGCACCTCCAGTAGCTCCGTTAACAGCATCTGTAACAGGCTTTGCACCTCCAGTAGCTCCGTTAGCAGCATCTGTAACAGGCTTTGCACCTCCAGTAGCTCCGTTAGCAGCATCTGTAAGAGGCTTTGCACCTCCAGTAGCTCCGTTACCGTCTCCAACAACAGATTCAAGAAGAGGTCCAACAATAGGGACTCCTCCTAAAATTGTCCCAGACCCGTCATTACCAGACCCGTCATTACTACCAGTCAGGTCATTTAGAAGTTCCCCAAGCGGAAGTCCGTTGACCATTAGCAAGGTGAAAGTAATAAATAACGCGAGGAAACAGTTATAATGTTTAAAATTCATCTTTTTAGTGTTTAATTTACGAATTTGATTGTTTTTTAATGAAGATTTTAGTTAATAGACTAATATTTATTAGATATTATGAAAGTTTTTTTCTTCAAGGAAACGTCCTTATTTATACATTCCAAATTAATAATTCCAAACGTCACAATAGGAAGTGGTGGTGGATGCGTTGCCTACAACGGGACCTTTTTTTACGTATGCATAATCAAATCTATCTCAAAGAATTTCCTTCTGGATCTATGATGTGCGTATTCATTGATGTACGTATGTGTCTGCAGAGAAACAGTAAAAGAATTTTTATGTAAAGAATACCTTTTGTTTGCTTTTTTGAAAAACAATTACTGTATGTAAAAAACTGTTTAGAAAATACATGTTCTACTGTATAGATTTATTCTAACTAATACCGATACTAATACAGATGCATGTTTGTATGTTGCGCGGATTCATTCAAAGAGGTACTCTTTAATAAAAAGCATATCGATATGTATGTGGTGGTTGCATGCCACGAATTCATTTAAAGATGTACTCTTTAATTACGTAAAAGTACATACGTATATGGTTGCAAATACAGATGTATGCTCGAATCCATTCAAAGTACGTATATGGTTGCAAATACAGATGTATGCCACGAATCCATTCAAAGTACGTATATGGTTGCAAATACAGATGCATGCACGAATCCATTCAAAGATGTACGTATTCCGTACATGTATGTTGGTTATGCATGCTCCTTAATTTTACATGCACTTGATAAGTTACGTAACAATAACGATAATCTATCCGGGGTTCATGTCGATGTACGTGTATAGTGCATCAAATTCATTGTTACACAAACGTAATCGATTACACTAACACTAAAATTGTTGATTTCTGTCATGTCTGATTTCTTTACTGGACTGGCTTCCATTAAAATCAATATTACGTAAGGAGTACGTACATCTTTTCAAAATGCAAACAAACTTTTACTTTTATTGTTCTCTGCAGGATATTCGAAATATTAGACTTAGTAAACGGTTTCAATCAACTCTCCCTAAATGCAATTCGTTGGGACTAAACTTTGGGCTGAGCAAGAGCGTACATTTAAAGAGAGTTTACATAGTGCGTGCATTTATGGAGGTTACATTTAAGGAGAGTTGACTGTATGTGCTATGTTTTATTTGAATCTTTGAAATGTTGGTACTAAACGAGATGAAAGTCGATTATACGACTTTGTGTGTAGAACTTCCGTTTAGATAATCTGTATTTGTGAATAATCTGCGTGACTTTCTACGGGCCCATTTTGGAACGTTCACTTAGTACACACAATGACACCTGCACCAACTTCCTTATTCTCTTCGATTACTTGTTTTGCAACGTCAGATATATTTTCACCAAGATATTTTACACTATCCAGAGTGAATACGTACACTTCATTTTTCATAAAGTCAAGCCATAAGTAGATTACATGATTTTTGTTTTTGTTTGTTTGGAACAATTATAGTCCGCACAGAAAGTAATGGCGATTAGTTTTTTTCAAAGAAAGAGCAGTTTTTAAAGAACAACTGCACAAAATTTATTTCTGTGATGCCTCTGAGTAGGGCATCATGCTTTAAAAATCAATACATGATACATTCTCGTTTCAAGGCTTGAATGCCATTTTACATGTCAAGTACTATTACTAGTAATGTTATTTCGATTTACTCTTATAAAATAATATACAGTCAGCACGGGAGTAATTTTTTCACAAATAAAAACAATATTAATAATGAAACAAAAAAAAATTTATTTTCGAATCTGCCATTTTGCCAAAATCTCTTTACGGTCTCACGATTGAATTTTACGGGGGTTGTCAGACATTTTTAAGGTACGTGTAGAAATCGGTTTTTTGTTACAAAACAAATAATGATGTGCATGTTCCACAAGGTCGATCGCTTTCTGGTGGTGCTGCCTGACGAAAAATTCAGTGCCGACTATATAGTTTTTTTAAGTTGAACATTTTTTCTTAATGGGCAAAGGCTTGTTAATTAATAAAATTTTGCGCAATCATGAGTGAAATTAATGCCTTCATGATCACATTTCGCCATGCGTTTTTTCACTCCAACCTTTTTAGGAGGCCAATTATATGATAAAATTTTCGCTATTACTGTATTAGTATGTTGTCGACGAACACTATCATAAATTGCGTGTTGGGTGGAGGGGAAAAGGAATGTAAATATATTTTTATCATTTTTGTTAATAAATTACCTGCATGAAATAAATGATTGATACTAACACACGTAGTGTGGAATAGGTGATTCGTTCTTTGAACACTTCCGATCTCACTATGACGGTCTCAATATCGACCATATCGATACTATAAATATTATCTTGAAAAATTACTGCGTTCATGTGATCCCCCTGATCTCAAGATCAGGAAGTTTTCATTTGTTTCTGAACACGATCAAATAATAAGATTTAATTTTGCAAGTATCAAGTGTGCCTATAATATAACGATAACAACACCGTCTACTTAATCTCGTTACGATTGTCATATAGAAAAATTGATTGTGAAACCTGTCCGTCTGATTAAAATTTTTATATACATGTAATTATCAGATTTTTCGTTGTTCAGTCTTCGTTACTTGGTCTCTGCAAAGTTTTTTTGTCCTGCATCACATACTCTCCAACCAACATTCTTTTCCGATTTGATCTCAGCACTATAGCATCTGAGTTTAGGAGAGATAATGTGAAGGCACTGAGCTTTTAACCAGCTCCATTCGAGTATCACGTCATTCCTAGTTTTGAGGGTAATAGTCATTGTGATAACATTTCCCTTAGCGAAGCCTCATGCTTACGATCCAAATGTCAATGTGGTCGCAGATTTTCCGAAACAATACGTTCTCCCCAAAATCTAACCACAGTATGCTAAGATCCCCAATGCCGAGAAGCTTAAAGGAATTTCGAATACCCAAGTCCAAATGTTCATGGACAACCTGCATGACGTTGTGGAAAATTCGCTCGAGGCATCAGTATCCGTACGCCCGGCATTGCCCAAAATTATACTATAACAATCACCCAAATTTTCTGGGCGTTAAATGTTATACGACACCTGATCACTTATATATTTATAGATTGTTAGAGCTTCTATTGGGTATTCATGTTCATAAACCTTCATGCCCCAAATACAATAAATCGGTCACTTTAGGACATAACATCTCAACATCCAGCGACACGAATTAGCGAAAATACTACCATTCGATTTGTTTAATATAAGCAAATCAAATAGTGATATTTTTGCTCAAATTGGGTCACTGGATGTCGAGATATTACATCCTAACGCTATAGTGACAGATTCATATTTGTCGATGCCCAAAAATGAATCGGTCAATTCAGGACGAAATATCTCGACCTCCAGCGACCCTATTCGAACAAAAATAATACCATTCGATTCACCTAGTCAAGGATGCTGGACGTTGAGATATTACGTCCTAAATTGGCTGATCAATTTTTGTTAATGTCAAAAAAAAATGAATTGGTTACTTTAAAACGTAATATTTCGACGTCCAGTGATCCGATTTGAACAAAAATATTACCATTCGATTCGTCTAGTCGAGGTAAATCGAATAGTAGTATTTTTGTTCAAATAGGATCACTGGATGTCAAGAATTCGATTCTTGGATATCGTGATGTATGTTATGAAATGAGGGACATGAACATGCAATATAAGAAGCCCTATCAATCTATAAAGGTACAAGTGATCAGGTTGTATTACATTTTACGCCCAAAAAATTTGGATAATCGTTACAGTATAATTTTGGGCGTTCGGATACTTATGATCACTATTGTATTATCTGAAACTAAGACTCATATGTTGGTTATTGATTTGCTTCGTATTGAACGAAGGTTAAGCAAGTATTACAGAAATTATTTGCTCATTATGTGCTTCTGCATTCTGTCAAAACTAGAGTTTACCCGCTATGAAGACTATTCATTGTAGACCAGCCTTATCTCACAGCAAATCACAGATTTGTGGTTAAACTATGGCTGTAGAAGTCTCTATATTGTCATTTAATAAGTTCACACTCCATTGACTCGAACAATCTTTTTATAAACACCTAAGAAATGTTAACGCATCAACTGGTCGTGTTTTATTTTTATTTATGTTGCATTACTGTGATTCTTATTGCATATTAGGAAGAACTTGGTGAATTTACCACAAAAGCAATCGGCTGTGATTGAAAGATGGTTGGCGGAGATACTACAGAACCAGATGGAAGACGAACAGTGATCAAATCTCTTTTGCAGATGAAAAGCAGTTATATTATCATGATAGGGGCACTTTGTAGTTTATTTTTGCGTGCTTTCGGTGCAATTTATTTTAATAAAGCATTTCAATTTGTTATTTGCGCTAAAATAAGGATTCATATGCTGCGTACCTATCTTGTTTTTCACTGAAGAACCAACGGAAATCGTTATATCTGGCCGGTAAAAAATAGACCGAAATTTTTATGGATTTCGCATGCACTTAAAGTTCCAACTTCTTTATATACTCCCTAACTCCTTTATATGCGGATCTTCATAATACCATACTTCATCGCAAAGTTCTCTCTTATGTACTAACAGTTTCTCAAAATCCTCTGGTTTGGGTAAAAAAAACGGTAATAATATAAATAGAGAACTGTAAAATTGAACGAAGCGAATTACCATTTTTATTCATAGAACTTTAATTATGTTAACGTGCGTGCATAAGTATTTCACATGAAAAATGACATATATTTGCTGTATTAAAAAAGAGCCTACACACAACAAAAGTCATAAAAAGCTTCTTTTTTATGCGTTCTGTCTCATTTTTCATGCATAGAAATCGATGTTACTCTTCTTTTAACACACACAAATCGAAGTAAAATAATGCCTACGAATACGCATTTCATACAAACACAAACGGAAGTGAACAACATATGTATAATGATAACGATAAATCATCGTTTTTTTTAAAAAAAAGATAAAACACTGCGATAACACTAATAAAATAAACTTAAAGATGGCATCTAAACTTTCGAATACTCATCACAATTGAATTTATAAAGTTGACTGTAGTAAATGTATCTCTTTACTACTGCGGCGTATATTCTATATCACAAACGAATGTATAAAGATAGATGATCTAGCGGAAGTAATGATATAGACTATCTAATAAAAGATTAAATCTTTTGAATTGAAAGATTTACAAATGCTGAATATCTTGTATAAGGAGGTTTTGGATCAAGTATCCTTGTTTGTTAGATGGACCATAAAATCTTTTGGATCATGAAAAAATAAATTTAAACGAGATGGAAAACTCGAAGTTGTGTTGAAATTGTTATACACAATTAAAAGCAAATTACATCCGAGTCTATAAACGAAGTGAAATCTTTAAGAGTTATCAACTCAATAAATTACGTAATATTATAGATAATGATACTTGACGAAACTATTTTTATGATAACGAAAGGTTTCGTCACATCATTCGTTGGACAAAACCCATGACGATTGACGAAGCCTTCTGACCAATCAAAATAACAGTTTAAATCACATGATGATTGATGAAACCTGTGACGAGCCTTCTGACCAATCAAAATAATAGCTAAAATCACATGTACAAATACCGAATTTTAAAAGAATGTTACGTCATTAGAAATCTAGTACATGTGTTTGATTGGCTGAAGGCCATAGATGATCAAAATTATTGGCCAGCATTATGAAAACTTGAGAAAAGTGTATAATTTTGAATACATCTGGTAAAATATGCAAAAAATAAACTGATAAATTGATAAAGCTTGACTTGCATGTTTAAATATGCATTTGCGCATCCAAAAATGGTACGTATTTTAGACAATCATATTTCAGCCGCATTATTCGCTTATCGAACTTTACAAAATAATACTACCTTTCTTTCTAACATATGGAAGAGAAGCATGACTACCAATAGAATTAAAATTCGATATTGATCAGAAAGTTTCGTCATTCATTTTCAAAATGGTCATGACGAAAGGTTTCATCAGCATCAAGTATCATTAATTATAGAGTAGTTAATGAACTATATTTTCTAATTTTTTAATCATAAGGAGGGAATTTGAAACTAATTCACTTTTTGTATGGTAACCTGCACCGTAGATCGGAGGTAGTTCGGGAACCGTTTTTCCTTAACATATAATACAAATAGTATGTATATATGCAATTTCATGTGTTGGGATTTTGAATTGTCATTTTGAACCATCTGAATGTTAGTGTTTGGGATGTTGTGCATTCGGGATTAGACTTTTCGGGATGTTGGCTTCTCGGGATGTTGGATATTCGGGAAGTTGGCTTTTCGGGAAGTGGAGTTTTCGGGGTAGTGGCTTTTCGGGATGTTGGATTTTCGGGATTTCGTTTGTCTGGCATATGGGATGTCGGGATTGTGGTCGTCGGGATGTTGGACGGCACCCCTCATATTTACATTCTAAATATAGAATTTATGGAATAGACATGCTCAGCACGTTATTTTAATTAAAATGGGACGGAAATGATAACTATCAGTTTCCGGAGCCAATCCATAATTTGGTATAGTGTATACGATGTGGTGCATATATGCTTATACAGTGCTCGTCAGAAGTAACGTACCCCTTAACTTTCCATAGATCATGTGTACCAAAATTTTCCGAGCACAAAGAACATTACAAATGCTGATCGTTGATACATGAACTTTTCATACAATGGGGGACAGCAAGTCACATCCATTTTACTTTCCCATGCCAAGCCTTATAGTTAGATGAGGAAAGGTTGTACGAAAAATATAACTTGGCCAAATTGTAACCGGGTCAATTGGCCAAGTTATTTTTTTTGCACAACCTTCCCTCATCGAACTATAAACTTGGCATGGGAAAGGTAAAATGGATGTGACTTGCTGTCCCTACTGTAGAATGGTAGAGCTTCTATATTATGCATTATATGTTCATAAACTTTCATGTCCCAAATACGTACCACCATGTGCTAAATTTCTATGGCTAAAATATGTATGCAATTTTCTATGGCTAAATATGCAGTTTTCTATGATTAAAATATGCATCACGCTTTAAGCATTGTTCTTTTCATTGTTTATTTCTGCATCTGAACATTCCCGTATTTTCTACGTATTACAAACAATAAACTTTTAAACACATGCACACCAGCTCGATATTTCGTGCTCTAGCTATCTCTCGCGTGGTGTATCCATTATTGAACGAAATAATAATTTCTGCTCTTTCGTTTGGAGTTGTATGACGTTTTGACACCTTTGTTTATTAAAAAAGGAACAACTTAATAATCAGATGATTATATACATGTATTACGGAAACGAGTCAAAAGAAATGCAACACTACATGTACATGCATGTTGCTGTTTGTGGAAAGTTGCGTTATCAAATTGTTCTGTACTGTAATCCTATTCATTGGTTAAAAATAACTATCTTATAGATTTGTAGCTTATCTAGCAACTCTCCAAGTGTCATAGAAAACTGCATAAAATTTATCTTTAAGCATGGTACATATCGATATTGCACAAAATTTACTTTAAAGAACGATACATATCTAAGCAAAAAAAACTGCACCAAATTTATCTCAAAGCATAATTTATATTATAGCTATGAAAAACTGCGTGCTATAGAGACTTGCATGAAATCAGCAGCGATAGGCACTTTTCGTTATCGCGTTAATCAAGTTATACGTACATGTACAGTACAGTCAGTACATGTATATTCTTTTATAAATGGCCTATTTGCCTACGAACTTGTTTCAAGAAGACTAAATATTTCATTTCTTAATATCGATAAATCGCCATGTATACTTCAAAAATCTCTTTTGTCACTTTATTTATTCTATCTATCTTTGCGATAACCTTCGCAATTCCGCTCTCCAAAAGGGAGGTTGTTTTTGATGGAAAAGCTGAGGTTGGAAATTTGGCGTTCCGTGCGCATGAAAATAGCGTTGGTTCTTTTAGCGTAGATGATGGAGGCAAGAAAGTAATAGGTGTCAATGGGCCAGGCACAGAGGGGATTGTCGAGCAAACTTTACCATGAAAGATTTTATCATTATACAGTATTTATTTATTCTCAATACGTATAACTAAAAGGAAATTATTTTTAACTATAATCTTTTCTATAAGTAAAACAGTTAGAAAAAAATTTAATTTAAGTTTCAATCTTTATACGTAGTGTAAGCACCATATACATGTATTATTAGCTTGATTATTTAATTCTCGCAGAAACCAATATATCAGAATGTTCAAACGACGTTTCAAATTTTACTACCTGACTTTTACGCAGACGTAACATTAATATTGAGATTTGCTCTTTTGTGAAGAACGCCTAATACTACATGTATTTAATAATAAAACCGAAAAAGCATTTTCACTTCAAATTTGTTGATCTAACCATTATAACATATCGATCTGTTAACGGTATTGTGTAAAGGAGTATAGTCGGAACCATAAAAGACGTTACAAAATTAGAAAAGCGTATGACATACATATATGTATAATAGAAATTTGAGTCTATTAAAAAGGAAGGATTTTCCTATAAACGGCGGTTTTTGGGAAAGTAAGAGTTTTGGGCGACAATTGGTGTTGCCTGTGCCGATATCTACGGATATCGTATTTGACGTTGGACTTAGGGTAAGTATATATTAAGATGTTTCCTTTGATAATTTCTAAGCCTATTTTGGTTTCAATTATCTACAGCTATTTCGCGTTTCTTACCAAGATCGATTACCGTCGTCGATCTTCTAGCGATGCCTTTTCTGGATTAAGGTCCTAACTGTCAGCAAATTCAATCAATTACTACGAGGGAATTTTACAAGTCTAATTATACTTGGAGAATAACTGTACGCAACAATTCTGATATTTTATTGAGGCCTGTAGACCTTTCTTATATACATTTTTTTTTTAGTTTACATATAATTTATTCTTATAAGACTATTAAGATAAAAGAATAAAGAAAAATATAATTAATAGTTTTGTCCAAGAGAGAGATTATAATAATAAGAGTAAAGATCTAAGACAAATTAATGAAAACGTTTAAGAGAGAAAATTGTGACTTTAATTAAAAGATAATAATATAAAATATATATATAACAAGAGATCCACGAGGGAGAAAACCTTGATCAAAAGAAAAAAAAGATAAAATAAAAGAGAATATCAGACGGAATGTTTGAGAAAGAAAAAGAGAGAAAACCGCGATTAAAAAGGAAAATCAGATGGAATGTTTGAGAAAAAAAGAGAGTACTCATTTGAACAAAAAGAAAATATTGGACCTATATACAACGCGGCCTAAACTGATCCTTTCGAATTAGGAGGATCACCAAAATGGTGTTACGAGTGTAACAATATGTACATGTTCGTATTAAAAATGGTTACACATGTAAATCGCGCGTGTTACTACCACTACGTAGATCAATGTTAATTCGTGAGTTTTATAAGCCTATCGCTATTTACAACAACCATATTAAAGAGTATTTTGTTATTTACACAACAATAGAAATTGTAAGAGTCTTCTTTATGCGTTCTGTCTCTCATCGTTTAATGCAATGCATGTGTGTACATGTATATAAAAACGCACAACTGAAAAGCTAAAAAATATTGTTGATTTACTATTTTTATACTTTTTAGTCCATCTATAAAAACAATTAATTATACTGTTACAATAGTAACATAAAAATCGCAAATTCAAAAATAATTGAAAAACATGAAAATTCCAAAAATATTCATATAACAA